CACACACACACACACACACACACACACACACATTTGTTTTTCAGAAAAGTCAAAAAACTGAGATCTAGATCTGGTATTGATACCCTTAATTAAGTACTTTCCTACAGCTCGTTTGGCAGCCATTGCATTTTCAAGTTCTTTTGAGTAACTCACGTCATACACCTGGATTTGGGCAATTTATCCCATTCTTTTTGATTTGATGGGAAGCCTCGGTGACCTGACATCCTCAGGTCTGTCCACAGATTTTATCTGCACTTTCAGTCTGGCTTTGGCTGGGTCATACAAGGACAGTCAGAGACTTGTCCTGCATTGTCTTGGCTGTATGATTTCGTTCATTGTTGTGCTGAGAGAGGAACCATCACTTTGTTCTCAGGTCACTTTGGAGCAGGTATTCCTTAAGGATATCTCTGTGTGTATGTGCATTCATCCTTACCATTGTACTGACCAGTCTCCCTATCACAGCTGCTGTGAAGCATCTCCATAGAAGGTTGTTACCAACAACATGCTTTGCTGCAGTGACAATATTAGCAGTGCTTGGTGCTCGCAAGACATTCTGCCTGAAGCTCTGCACAAAGAAAAAATTGGCTGTCATTTTTGCTTTTTGCTCAAAAGTGGCTTCCATCTAGCTGTTCAACCATAAAGGCCTGATTGTTGGGGATGCTGCTGAGATTGTTGTCTTGTCAGCAGGCTCTTCTATGTCTGCAAAGGACTTCTCAAGATCTGTTACAGTGACTGTTAGTCACTGGTCACCTCCTTGATTAGAGATCTGCTTGGTTACTTGCTTAGGTTGGCCCATTAAATATGCTCCTGGAAACACTCAGAGCTTTAGAAATGGTTTTATAACCTTGTCCTGATTTATGCCTTGTCACAGTTCTATGATGGAGGTCTGCAAAGATGCAAAGAGTTCCTTAGATTTAAGGGTTTTGTCCTAAGTGTAAGGAACAGAGGCCACCTAGGCTGATGGGAGTTTAGCCTCTTAGCTGTCTGAATGCAGATGAAGTTCTTGTGATTTGTCCAAATAACAAAATGCTGTTCCGCCCTTTCCAGCCTGTGTCTTCACTCTTCCAGGGCCAACTTGTCAGCTAACAGTATTCGATTTCCTATGTCATAGTTTCTTTCTGACATGCTAGTACAGGGAGAGTCTGCAGGAGAATAAGGCGAAGGGATCCAATTTGTTGTCAGCTGGGAAACATTAAGACAGTCCCAAGTCCTGAGTCTGAGGCGTCCACCTCCACAATGAACTGGAGTGTAGGATCAGGCTGAGTAAGGACACAAGCTCTTTAGCTCCTGAAAGGCAGACTCGGTGTAAGGCAACCACTAGTAGGGGACAGAGATGGAGGTCAGAGCTGTCAAGAGTGATGCCGTCTTACTATAATTTCTGATGAAACAATGTAAGATATTACCAAATCCAAGAAAGCTCTGGAGCTTGTTCTGGGTCTTGGGTTGAGCCCAGTCTTACACTGTGGAGACCTTAGCTGGGTCCGTTTTTACCTTCCCCTAAGCGATTATGTAGTCAAGGATAGACACAAAGGGGACGTAGAACTCACACTTTTGTTCTTGAGCAGCCTTTCAAGGACCAGACCAATATGTTGGATGTGCTCCTCAGGGGTGCAAGAGTAGATGAGGATGTCATCTGGTATACATGGACAAAATGGTTGATTATATCACAGAGGATGTTATTGATCAGGTTTTGAAGAACTGTTGGGGTGTTAGGTCAGCCAAAGGGCATGACCAGTTCTTTAAAATGACCCAGTGGAGTGTTGTATGCTGTCTACTATTCATTCTTTTATGCATTAAATGTTTCGCAAGTCCAGTTTGGAAAAGATGGTGGTGCTGTGCAGAATGGAGAAGGCAGAACTAATAACAGGTAGGGGGTACTTGTTCTTCATAGGGATATTGGTAAATCCACGGAAGTCAATGCAGGGGCGGAGGGAGCCATACTTCTGGTCCTCAAAGAAGCAACTGGCCCCCACCCAGTGGGAATTTGGGGAGTCCATAAAGGTGGAATGTAATGCTTTCTTGTTGGTTGCCAGACAGGTGGAGGATGATGGGGATAGTTCAATGGGAAACCTCGACAAGATGAGAGCCTCGGCATTGAGAGGTCTTGGGGGGACTGAAGAAGTTCAAAAGGGACATTAAGTTAAGAAGGCAGGTTGTAGTCCATGACATTTTTTTCAGTCCCGGAGTCCACAAAGGCTGTGAGTTCTAGGGTCAGATTTTGCCAGAAAAGGGAGACAGGGAGCTGAAGATCGAGGAGAGACTGGATGGAGGTCTGGCTTACCGGCATTCCCCTGTAATGGGCAAACCTCCCATTTTGCTGGGCATACTGGACAGGTGGCGATGAAATAGAGGCACTGCGGTGTTCTCTCTCCTTTGTGGTTGAACAAGCTCGCCCTAGCTACTTAGGCTCCGGGATGGAGTGTGATTCCAGGGTTTACAGGTAGAAGGAGAAGTAGAATGGGAGGTACCAGCCACAGGTACTCTGAATGTTGACATAATCCTGGAGCTCTTTTCTCAGCTGCATTCATGCCAGCAATTGTCCAACCAAACAGAATGGGACACCAGGTCAGCCAAACTGGTGGTGTTGTCTTGGGAGGCGAGTTCCTTGGCGGTGGGAGTAGATGTGCTGGTGAGCTTCTATACGTCTGATGGGCTAGTCGAACACTTTTCTCATCTCCATAGTGAAAGCTGCAGATCTCCGACTGTCTCTCCCACACTGCTGTACCCCAGTTTCTGGCTACACCCTTAAGTAATAAAAAATAAATACCGCACGTCACTGGTTGTAACAAATGGTGTGATTCGTCTTTCTTCTCCAAGAACCAACTAAAATTATATACCACACATTGCCAACTGTTTTGCACCTATCA